CAACATTGAACACTTCTACAGATTCATTCTATATGCATTTACTGTGGGCCTACTGTTCATTCAACCAGTATTTTTTATAGCTTCCTTGAAGTGTAAGTGACATACAATAAACTGCACGTGTAAAGTGTACAGTCTGATGTTTTGATGTATGTATACACCTGTGAAACCATCAGTGCAATTAAAATAATGAACATATCTACCACCTCAAAAAGTTTTCTCATGCCCCTTTGCAATCTCTATGTCCTGTCCCTCCCTGTTCCCTGAACCGCTAATCTGCTTTCTGTCACTATAGATTAATTTGTACTTCTAGAGTTTTAGGTATAAATGGAATGATACTTTCTGTACTCTTTTTCTTTTTTTTTTGGACTGACTTTTTCACTTAGCTTAATTATTTTGAGATTCATCGAGTTATGCATAGCAATAGTTCTTTTCTTTTTATTGCTCTGTAGTTGCCTGCAATGCAGTGAATTACTTAATATGGCCCTTCTAGCCATAGTTTTTGTAACTCCTACCAAATGACTGGGTGGGACTGTGAAGATGAGGTGCTTGTGGCCCACAAAGGGGATTGGATAGCTTGCTAATGATGTAAATAAGGCGCATGGCACCCTTGTGGGGGTGGGACCATGCAAATAAGGTGTATGGAACCCTAACGAGGGGATTGGCCAGTTTTGCCATCCCTTGCTAGGCTTAAAATGAGCCATCCAAGAGGCAGGGAGGGAGGATATTACTACCACCAAAAAAGAAGAGCCAAGAGTGGAAGGCATCCTTTGGACCCAGGGTCCCTGTGCTGAGGACCTCCTAGATCCAGGAGACAGAGAGAGCTGTAACACTGGAGATGGGGAAAGACGGTGAAAAGCAGCGGCAGAGAAACGGTGGCAGCAAAGACAGCAGAACTAGAAGACTGGCAGGAGATGGCACAGTGGGCTTCCTGGCCCACAGAGTGAGAAAGCTGAGTGCCTTCAGGCAGGAGGCTTCCTGGCAAAGTGAGGTGCCTCTGAACACTTGGTGGTGGAGCTAGGCTCACCGACCCATGGAATGGAGCAGGAGAGAGAGCTGAGCACTTTCTGGCCAAGGTTTATTGGCAGAGTAGGGTGCCTCTAGGCACTTATTGGCAGAACTAAAAGAGCTTTGTAACACTTGCCTGAGCAGGGCAGAGGCCGAGGGGCCAGAGAGAGGCATGCCTTCGGGCATGGCTGAGAAAAGGCTGTCCTGATGAAAGAACTATATCCTGAGCGTTCCTGAACCTGAATTGTAACCTGTTACTTCCCTAATAAACCCCATAATCATGAGTATTGTGAGTTCTTTGTGGCCACTGATAAAAATTATTGAACCCAGCAGAGAAGTAGAGTGCCATGGTGGGAGGGACAGTTGGTGTCAGAATTGGTAAAAAGGTTGGAGGTTGGAGGCATGTTTGACCTCTATCTCATAGGAATCAGCCTTGGGCTGTTGATCTGGATTCTCATTCCCTCTTGTGAAGTTAGAGGAGGTCAGATGCAGCCCCCACACCATTTCTACAATGTCATTGTATGGATGGAAATCTTGGTGGCATAGTGGTTAAGTGCTACGGCTACTAACCAAAAGGTCAACAGTTCAAATCCACCGCGTGCTCCTTGGAAACTCTATGGGGCAGTTCTACTCTGTCCTACGGGGTTGCTATGGGTCGGAATCAACTTGATGGCAACAGGTTTGGTGTTTTTTTTTTAATTGTGTGGATATGTCATAATTTGTTTATCCATTCACTAGTTGATGCGTATTTGTGTTGTATCCAGTTTGGGGCTATTATGAATAAAATTCTTATAAGCATTTACAGACAGATCTTTGGTCATGTTTTTCTTGTATAGATACCTAGCAGAAGAATTGCTAGTTCTACTGGTGTTTTTTTAACTTTATAAGAAACTGTCAAACTGTTTTCTAAACTGTTTGCATCATTTTGGACTCCCCCAGCAATGTATGAGAGTTCCAGTTGTTGCAAAGCCTCTCCAATACTTCGTATTGTCAGTCTTTAACTTTGACCATTCCAGTGGATGTTTAGGAATACCACATTGACGTTCTAATTTGCATTTCCCCAATGACTAATGAATGATGTGGAGCATCTTTTCATGTGTTTATTACCCCTTCATTTATGTTCTTTGGTAAAGTGTCCATTGTGCAGGTAGATTTTTGGCTAAGGCATATCAGGAGGTTTCTCAGAAGTTCCTATTAGCTGACATAGCAAAAACAGGTTAGGAAGTTGTGTTTATTTTCTGTGGAAAGTGGTCCAAGGTTCAAGAAGTTCAAGAATTCACCCCCATGCCCTGGATATAACTGAATTTCAGGAGAATTTCAGAGACGACACAGATTGGTTACTCTTTAGGCACAATGGTTTTTACTGTTTGGAGGGGAAGGGGACCAGAATATGTGAAAGCAACATATAGATACAAATTTTAGAGTATGATTGCAGAGAAGGTTTTGGAGTCCCTGAAGCCCCACTGTGAACCCATGTTAAATACTGCCTTAAAACCCAAACCAAACCATTTGCTGATGAATCGATTCTGACTCATGGCGACCCCATGTGTTTCAGAGTAGAACTGCAGACAGGGTTTTTAATGTCTGTGACCTTCTGGGAGTAGATTGCTAGGCTTTTCTTCCGAGACACATCTGGGTGGATTAGAACCACCAACCTCTCATTTATTAGCCAAGTGCTTAACCGTTTGTACCACTCAGGGACTCCATAAATACTGCCTTAGAGGAAGGCATATATCCTGAGGTCAAAGAGCAGGATTTTCAAAACGGTTGAGACTCAGATGAAAGGCATTCTCTCAGCAAAAGTCCAAGCTCATATTTGGACCAGAGGGGCAGGGACAAGAGCATCTTTCAGGAGAGGCAGACATGCTCCCAAGGGCTGAGGAGAGGTCCTCAGTGCTCTGCTCAGGTGGCTTTTGGGGGTATGCAAGGTGGATGGGAGGGAGGTCAGTTACAGCCCTGCCTGGCTGTAGGCAGCAACCTGGCAGGTAATCTGTGCCTTTCCAGATACTTCACAAGAGAGAGATTCTTGTGGAAAGGGAGTGCAAATCAAGGCCCAGATGTAAAGAAGGAAGATGGATTTGTTGCCAGCTTATCCTGGACTGAGAAAAGTGGAAATGTTTCCAGTGTGAAGCCTCCATCTAAACCCCCTCATGCATTTTTGTCCACACCTGGGGAGCCTTTTTGGAGAGAGCCACATTGGATGTAAACACCAAACCACCACCTGTGCGAGGCAGACAGGGCCAGTACTATTGATTGAGATGAATCTCCCTCCTTCGCTATCTCCCTCCATCCTTTCAGTTCAGCAAGCACCATTCAGAATGAGGGAGAGACAGCAACTATGCTGCAAGAACATCCATAGCTCATTTTGGGTTTTCCTCACCTTACAGACTTTTCAGCCTTTGAAGTACAGCCCAAGAAAGACACACTTCCTTGCCTTTCTTTCAGAGCCCCGTGGACTTCACAGCTACCAAAGGCAGCTTTACAAACATCTCTTTCACCCTTCACAATGTTTTCTAAAAAATAAGTTTATGGTGTTTTAGGTGAAAGTTTGCATGGCAAATTATTCCCATTTAACGGTTTTTATACAAATTGTTCTATGACATTGGTTACATTTTTCACAATGTGTCAACATTCTCACTGTTTCCATTCTGTTTGTTCTGTTTCCATTAATCTAGCTTCCCCTCCCCTCCTTACCTTCTCATCTTTGCTTTAGGGTAAATGTTGACTATTTGGTCTCGTATAGTTGATTATTTAAGGGAGCACAGCGCTCACGTCTCCCTCCAAAAGTTAGAGTGGCAGTTTTAGAGACATCTAGCTAATCTCATCTTACTTCCCATCAGAACATTCTTCTCTATATTGTCCCCCCCCACAACACACACACACAACCTCTCATTTCTGTCACTTTATGTACCACGGTGACTTGGCTGTGGTATCATTTGCTGCCTCGCATAATTCCTCTCCAGGGAAGCATTCCTTGAAGCTCCCACCAGGAAGTGGCTGCTCCTTTACCTGAGCTTCTAGAGTACCTATAACTTCAGTTATAGTGAAGGAGAACACAAGAAGTGATTCTGTGTCTCATCTCTCTTGTGATCCATTGAACAGAGTTTACATTTTATTCATCTCTGAGTTATTTAATCAAATAATTTTAGCAATACTCCTTTTTGAAGCTAAACACCAACATATTCAAAGCTGTGTCTGTGATGGAACCCAGCCTCCTGGGGACTTCTACTTACATAAGGTTCACAAATATGGCCCATTGGCAAGAGGAGTCTTTGGATAGATCTACTTTTGGTTAATCATTAACATCATAATTGCTGTCTTTCCAGCTATTGTCTCATGAACAAATGCAGAGAAATTTCTAGACAACTGGATTTGTTTTCACTGAGTAAGGAGAAAAAATAAAACAAAACAGAAAAACAAAAGGAAGAGATTGCCCACACCCTGCTAAAACCCAGGCCCTGCTAAAGCTAAGGATGTGCTGATCAAGCAAACCCCCTAATCTGCCCACAAAGCCGTCCAAGGTGAGTCAGCTGAAAGGGGCTAATCCCCAGAAGGGGCTGATCCTAAAGCTGTAGAGCCCACACAGCCACAGAACACTGGAGAACAGGAGATAGCGGAAGCTTAAAGAGATTTTGTTTAGAGAAAGGTTACAGAACCAACAGGGGAAGGTCCTGACTATCTAAGAGGTCACCTTTGCCCTATTGTGAGGTGTGGGTCACACAGCTCAGCCTTGGACAGGGCCCAGAAATAAGGATGATTCCAAGGGTGCAGATATTAAGAGTTGTCAGCCTGCTTAGGCCCCAGTTTAAGGTGGGAGATGGAGGTGGGGGGAATCAACTATTGCTGATTCTGTGATAACCAATGAGCTGGTACAAAAATTAAACTGCAGTAGATGCTAAGGGTGAATGAGTGAGTGAATCCCCAGAAGCAGGAGTCCATACAAAGTAAGCCTTTATTTGGGGTTGGGGTGGCCCAGCCTCTGGGACCAGAGCGCATCACAAGTACAGGCCCTGGATGGTATGCACGGAGCGCTTCCAGCTGTCCTTCCAGCGCTGAGCCTCCTTCACCTGCAACATGTTGTCATTCTGGATCTTCTTCATCTCCTCCTCAAATAAGGCTAAGTATTTCTGGGAGCAAGGCAGCAGGAGAAGTCCTCATGAGAAGGGACTTCTCAGCCCTGTGCCCTAGAGGAACATCGTGACTGGCTGGCAGGTAACTCTTAACCTGCTCCAGGCCCCGGGCAACATTTTCACAAGTTATTTCTCACGAAATCCTCCCAACAACTGATCAGGCAAGCCCAGTTATTTTCTCCGTTTTACATATGGGGAAATTGAGGCTCTGTGCCTTGCTTGGGGCCGAGCATGGACTAGTTGTTGTTGTTAGTTGCCTCTGAGTCGATTCCAACTCATGGCCACCCCATGTGTGCAGAGCAGAACTGTACTCCATAGGGTTTTCAAGGCTCTGAGTTTTTGAAAGCAGGTTGCCAGGCCTGTCTCCCTAGATGCCTCTGGGTGGGTTTCAACCACGAACCTTTTGGCTAGTAGTCGAGTGCTCAATCATAAGCAGGTACTAGAACCCCTACCTGTCTGACCTTGGACTCTACACTACTGGCCTCCCTGGAGCTCAGGAGTCCTGGCTTCCTCCAGAGGCTGCTCCTTCCAGGCCTGGAGCCCTCACTGAACCTGGTGAGCAGAGCTGCCCACTCTACTTGGGGCTTGCTGTGGTGGATGGGCAATCCAGGCTCTCCCAGTACTGGGACCAGCCAATCTCCTGGCAGGACAAGGTTTCTATCTGGGCACCAGGACCTATGGTCCTTAGAACTTCAGAGCTAAGATGTCCCTCACCCAGTATTTGGGTGCAGCCTTCTTGTCAGGCAGGCCCCACAGGGGTCCACCAGGCACTGGGTTCAGATCCTGACTCGGCACTATGTCGGGCATCAAAGGGAGCAAGTTTCTTCAAGCCTCAGTTTGCTCATCAGTAAAATGCGGATGATAATCCTTCCTTCATGAAGTTGTTAGGAGGATTCAATGAGATAACTCATGTCAAGACTAGAGGTCCCCATACCATTAGTTGTCACTGCTGCTGCAATCCTTCATGAACCCATTATTCCCATAGCTTCCACGCCTTTACCCACTCTATTCTCGCTGCCTGGCATGCCTGACTAGCTGTGACTCCATTGTTCCTCCAGAAAGCCTTTCTTCACCCTGCACTCTGGGTAGGGTGTCCCTCAGCTGGGTTCCCACAACACCGGGACTCATGCCATCAGACCCACAGGGTCTGCACTGGAACTGCACGTGACTCGTGGCTCATGTCCTTATGCCTGTGAACATCGACTGTACCAGGTGTTGAGATCTGCAGCGCTAGGGGGCCCTGTCCTGTGACCTCTGTTCCACAGGTCAAATGTTGGGGTATCCACTGGCAGGGAGCTGTCTGTCTCTTTCCTAAGGCAGCTGGATCTGGGGGAAACACTGCCAAACTGAGCTGCCATGGGCTTCCTGGGACACACCCACCCCACCCGTCATCTCTGTTCACCAGATAAACAGCATCTCGGGCTTCCACGGCTGCCAGGTGGCCCAGGGTCGTTTTGGTGGTGGTTATGGATGTCGTTTTCTGGAGGAGAATCTTGTTTTGGATGGAACTTTCAGTGGGTTTAATTCCCGGCCACTTCCTACACACAAACACGCGAGAAAACATCCCGTGGGTGTGACTTCATCACTCACAGGCCACCCGCCAATGCTGGTGACAAAGTTCAGCATTCCTTATAAATAAGTATCATGACTTTAAACATCTTAATTAAAAGAAAAACCCTACTAAACATTTCACTGTACACTTCTTCATGTTCTCTGCTCCATATTTCCATGCTGTTTTAATCGGTGTGTACATCAGATGGTCTGGGTTCTGGGTGGGAATGGGGCTGCCACACCTGTGGAGTCAGCCAGAGACAGTGTTTTCTGGGCCTCAGATTCCTCATCTGTAAAATGGGGATGATGACAGGACCTTTCTCATGGATGAAGTTGTTGTGCCAAATGCCCAGCATGATGCCTGGCACAGAGGAGGGGCTCAAATAAGGGAGTTTTGACCATCATTGGCATCATCATCCACCTTCTAGTGCCTCAACAGGCCTTTTCCAGCTAAGACCAGACTCTCCCATCTGGCTTCAAGGGTGGTCTGCCAGGCAGGTGGTGGTCACCAGCCCCTGGCCTGCTTTCTTCCTGTGTTGTAAACACCACTGTGGAGAGCACAGCGTTGGGCAACTCACAGCTTTGCTGCTTCTTCCAGAGTCACATTCTTGGGGCATAGGGGACAGCCACTTCCATAGCTATTGTCACACATGACTAATAGCTAGAGGGGTTCACACAGCCACTATTGACCTGTGGATGTTCCTCCTACTGGGACAGGCCTCCCGTCTTCTGTGAGCCCCTTTGTTGGGTCCTTGTCAAGTGAGCTAATAGCTTTTAAGCTCTATGTATGTGCCAGGGGCACTCCAAGTACAATCTCATTTAACTTTCTCTACATAATACCATGTAAGGCAGGCTGCTATCCCCCATTTCACAGGTGAGGAAACTGAGGCTTAGATCGTAATACCTTCCCAAGGTCACCAGGCCTGCCTGACTTCAGAGACCTAACCCTTACATGGCCGTGCCCCCATTCGTAGTATTCCTTGCTGTTCTCTGCTCTCACCTGCTCCCCCGTTCAGTCAGGGGCTTCTCTCGCTCTTCCTCCAGGGAGAGCCCAGCGAGTTTCCTCCGTATGAGGATCGATGTTTTCTGCTTGGGAGGCTCCATCCCTGGGTAGGCAAGAGATAGGTTACCGATTGTGCCTCACCGGACAGCCTCAGATCAAGGAGACTTCTACCTGACCGTAATTTTAGGAAAATGAGGGCTCTCTCCCCTCCTTCCCACTTGGAGTCTTGGGTGGGGGACAGAGTCCCCTGCCACACAGAGGCTGGCTGTGTCACTTACTTGGAACCTGGACATCATCGACGGTGACTACTTCATCCAGCTGCAGCAGAAATTTCTCAGTGAAGTTGGCCAGGTTGGCTATGAAAAACTGGCCATATTCCCTGGCGAATTCCTGTAGGAAACATGGTGAACACAGAGCTGCAGGGAGTGGAACTTCTGTCAGAAGGCAGGCTGAGAAAGGGGCTGGGTGTTCTCTGGAGGAGGTTTTGTGGAGCCAGCTGGTGAGACAAGACCAAAGCCATTGTGTCAACTGTGTTCCAGTTAACATGGCACCTGGACTTCTGCCAGGAGGCATACCCCAAGAGATAATTTGGGTTGATGATAAGAAATGACTCAGAAATGGTCAAGAGAATCACACAGACATTTCACAGACAAAGAAATACAGCAGCAGTGGATCTTGGAATAAAAATGTTCCCCTCATTCTGTGAACCTAAAACCTAAAAAAAGTTCTTCTCGTTAGTCATTTTGTAATTAACTAATTTAGGAATCAAGGAAATGCAAGTTCAAATAGCCAATAGTGACCATTTTCACCTATAAAATTCACCCTCTGTGCTGTCCCGCTCTGGTGAGAGTGCCAGCAGAGGGTGTGCTCAGCACTGTCGGTGGCTGTCAACGGGGACAATGTTTCAGGAGGGCATTGTGGTCCCCAGAACTTGGACTTGGCAAGTTGATGGCACTACTGACCTCCAACTTCTCCTTGTTTGCCTGAATCACACTATCCAGCTCTTCTTGCCTTTTCTCTTCCAGATGGCATAGAGACTCCATTTCTTGGAAGTTTGTCGGGTGTCCAAGATTTGGATGGAGCTTCTGGGCATTTTTATCCTTCAAACAAGCCAGAAATCAGCAGATATTTTAACCAGGTCTTGTGGTCAGGACTACATAAAACAAACTCACTGGCCTACGTCCTCTGCCGATTATGGCCACAGCCAGACTGCTATGTCCTCAACCTAGTTGGTGTGATAGGTCAGGGCTGGGCAGAGGAGTAGCAGAGAAGCCAAGATGGGAGCATGGCTGAAGCCAACTGAAGGTCACAGAGAGGGGAAGCTCAGCACAATTAGGGTTTTAGTCCAGTAAGATCAGCAGCATTTATGTCCCATAGGCTCCAAGGACCCACGTGGAAAATCATTGTTGATCTCAATGACCATGGCCCCACCAAACCCAGCAGAACCATCCACTAAATTCAAGGCATTTACTGAATGCCTTCTGTGAAGAAGCTGTTGTCTCAGCTCTCATTTCTTCAATGCCTTGTGTCCCTCAGTACACATCCAACAATCTCAAGCACAAACCATTTCCTTCTCTGGGACTCTGCCCTGCCCATGTCCTGCCTCCATTTCTGAACTCCCAAAACCCATGCTCCTGGATTGGAAATGCCTGGTCCTAAGACCCTCACCTTAGCTTTTTCCAGCTGTTTCAGCTGCTCTTGGAACTGCCCCCAAATCTCATTCATGGAGGCAGAAAACCTTCTCCAGTAGTGCTCCTTGAAATTCTCTGTCACCAGCCAACACACCTGGGGCAGCAGCTCCTCAAATCTCCTCAGCTGAACCCGTAATTCTGCAGGAATTGGTGGTTGGGCACAGGGGAGAGGACAGGGAAGAACTAAATTGCTAAGCTGATCTCTCCAACAAAGCCCCAAAGCAGTTTCCTAAAGGAAAATACTTGATCTACAGTGTAGTAATAGCTATTCCATCCGAAAGGGTTCTGATGGTCAAATCAGTGTAGAAAATACTGGGTTAAGCAGGTTCAGAGAGCTTTCCTCCCTCTATACTCTGCAGTACTTCTCAGCTCATTTAAAATGCATTGTGTCTTTCAGCAGTTCTGGGAAGTTTTCGTCCCTCATCTCTTTAAATATTGCCTTGACCCTAGTCTCATTCCTCTCTCTAGACCTGCAAATGTTACATCTTCTCTTTTATCCACATCTCTTCTCCTCTCTCCCAAATTTTCATCTTTTTGCCTTTCTATGCTGTATTCTGGATATTTTCGTCAGTTCTACCTGGTCAGGAGGGTCTTACGCAGATGTCAGACCCTGGTCTAGCTCAATCCAGACCCTGGCTTCATGTCACACCGCCTTCCCATGGCACCCACCAATGAGGCAGGAGTTGTGGTACTCGTCTGTCTGGCTCTGGTACTCCAGGATCTTCTTTCCGATGCTCTCTGCGCACTGGTCGAAGGTTTCATACATGCAGTCAGGCCTGGTGACTGGGCGCCTCTCTTTGCGGTAAAACTCCTGCAGGAGAAGGTTGGACCCTCACTATGGCGGCCTGGCCCACACTCCTGGCATGCCCCACTCTGCTCTCATCTCCACACCTGCTCGCCTTTGCTCATGTTCCCAGGAGCCAGCTCCCACAGACCACCCCTCTTTTGGTACACCCAGTATCTGACATACAGTTGATGTACAAGAAATGTGTGGTGACTGAATAGATGGATGAATGAATGAAGTTTCTGGGATGAAAATCACCACACAGGATGCCAGAAGCTGGGTAGCTGTGGTGGTCAGAGGTGGAATCCCCTTTTCTCATTTTTCCTGCTCAGCCACTATCAGCACACTGTAGGAGGCAGAGGCAGCTGGGGAAGTGTGGCCAGCAGCAGGCAGAGGGGGGTGCAGCTGGCCCTCACCTCAATGACGGTCAACAGCAGCTCATTGCTCTCCCAGAGGAGGGTCAGGATGATCCCTTTAAAATGCCTACAACACATGTAAGGGAGACCTGAGGGGCCTGGACACAGCAACACAGACAGAACCAAACAGGTCCCTTGCAAGCACCCAGATGCCTAGTCAGAATTAGAATTGGACAGTTCGTCTGATGCCCAAGGGTATTTCTACCTAACGTTTCTATTTGTCGAGTTTAATGTCTCTAATATATATAACAAGCTGGGTTTGAGCCCTTCTAAGCTTCTCTGCTCTGTTTCAGCTCCCCTTTGGCCTGTGTGATCCTCAGCACTTCAGCCTCCTCACTCCCAGTCATTACTCCCACCCCAGGGTCTTTGCACAAGCTAGTCCCTCTCCAGAGAACACTGCTCATTTTCCTCTTGGTCTTTGCTGCTCTTTCTCAAATCCTGGCACTGTCATTTCCTGCCATCTAGTTCTGATGCTCTCAGAGTACACCTCTGCCCTACAGCGTCCCCGCAGCAGATTTGGGACTGATTTGTGTGTCTAGCTAACTGCTGCCCATCTCTCCCAGCTGACTGTAAAGTCCACAAGGGGACCCCAGCGCAGCCCCTGAACCTGTCAGGGCCTCAGTGTTTATTGAAAGAAGAAAGAATGTTTCGTATAAATATTAATCAAATGAACAGGACTTCACGGAGGACCAAACATCTATCTTCTGGAAGCCCTGTCTTTTAGGCCGACTGCGTACACACCAGAGCCTCATTTAGCACACTTGCACAGACCCAGTGGATATTCTGGTCTGTTAGGTCAACTGCTTCAAAAGTAAGAGTGAAATGAGGGACGGATGCCTGAGACCTGCATGTGACTCCAGGACACGGGCTTCTTCACCATCTCTAATGATAAAGTGATGCAGTGACAGCTGTACACACACATCACTGTCAGCCCCATTTCTAAAATCTGTATCTACCAGTTATTGGATCTCTTCATTTTAAAGTTTATTCATTGTAATTCCAGAGAATTAGAAATATACTGAAAGACAAGGAGGAAAAACTGATACCAGAAAAGCTAATTATCTAGAGACAATCATAGTTAACATTTTATAT